CCCACACTGATACTTCACTGTGTTTTTCAAACTTTATTCTATCTCTTCCTCCCCATCTTTTCCAAAGTCCATTAGCAAAGTACTTGGATTACATTTTAGGGTGGCACGCTTTGTTCCAAATTTGCTGGAAAAGTCACAGCCCGTTAAAATATGGAGTGCTGGGAGAACTGAGCAAAGGTTACTTCCAAGCCTGTTTGCTATAATGTGAACTAGTACATGTCATGAAGTTCTGACTGAACCAAGTCGCATCCACAATTCCTGCAAACCTTCCGAAGAGAATCCATTCATAAAGTGTAAAGCCAACACTACGACATCTGTATCCGAAGACAGAACTACGACTTAATTAGATAACTCGAGCAAAAATGATCAAATTTTAATGAAATTTATCACAAACATGTAAACCTACGTTTTCAGACGAGTTCGAACTATTAAACCAGCACGATCGGACTATGGGAACGGGGGTTTATGGGGAGTTTTATGGAGTAAAAATGGATTTTTCCGATTTTCGACCCTAAAAACACTAAATTTTAGAATGAACCAAACCATTTTATAGAGCTCATAAAAGAAATAATTTTGTATATTGAAACAGTGTATGTCCAAAAGTTGCGGAGATAATTTAAAAAAAATTGTAAATTTAAAATGCCCATGTTATTCTTATGAAGAATAAATAAACTGTTTTAGTTTGCTTGTTTATGGATATATTATAGTCAAATTTCAAAATTTTTTTCATTCATACTAAGCTATCAACGTTTCAATAAAAATATATAAAAAACACCTCAATACCTTCCCTGAAGCAGCAAACTTAAGTACTCATTACAAATCAATGTCATTTAAATAGGAAATAAATCTGTCAATTTTAATATTTTAGTAGAAATACAGCCAGGTAAATGTTTGCTGATTCTGCAGGTTTGCTGCGGCGGGGGTATTTAGACCTTAGATGTAAAGAGCAATTGGTGTTATGTGCCAAATTCAAAAAAAAGTTTTTTTAAAGATATTAGAATTTTTTTGTCAAACAGAGTAAAAATGTATAGGTTAAATTAACATAAATTGCTCAACTACTCCTAAATAGTTATATTTAGGGCATTTTTGTAAATATAAAAGTTGTTCTTTATTGTGTAAGCAACATTTATTGTAGGAAAAGTAACTCGCTATATATTACCGTTCTCGAGATATAAGCTCCTAATGAGTTTCATGTAATAAATTCCGCCGCCATTTTTTAAATGGCGGATTCTGAGGTTATGCCCACTCTGCCAAGCTGGCACCCAGGTGAAAAATGATAGCCCACATAGTACCTACATGATCCCTTAGGGTGTTTTTCTATACATAAAATGCACACAGGAACCCCCCTAGCAAGTGGATTAAACCTTCATTGCCAAAGTGCTCTTTACTACAGCGCTGTTCACGGAGGAATTTTGAACTAATGCCTCATTCGTACCTCCCCTAAGTCAGACCCCGATAACGATACAGTAAGTTGAAATAAAGCATTGAATGAATCTATCGAACTGCAATAGTCGATAGTCAACAAGGGAGTCTCGTGACTAGTATAAAAATGGCAGACGATTTTGAAGATATTATAGAGTACAGTATCAGATTTAGTTTGAACTACCATACAAATATTTTATACCAAAATATAGAAATAACAAAATAATTTATACCAAAATATAGTAATAACAAAATATTTATACCAAAATATAGAAATACAACAAATAAAAATAACCTATTATAGCATAATATTTTTTCACATTAATCGGTATTAGTGTTTGGTTTTACAAACCGATAAGTTACTGCAAGGAACATCGATGCATCTGAATGACGCAATCTCATTGGGTCTTGGCAGAAAGAAATGATCAGTTCCACTTTAAACAGTGTTGCCAGATGGACGATAATTTTTGTACTTTACAACTGTCGTATTGGCTTAAACAAACTATAAGTATAATTTTTTTTCTAATGAGTTTACATAAACCTGATTAAAATTAGTCAAACTATTAATTTTTTTTCGAAATAAAAGCTATAGCAATTTTATGATAATTTTACCGACATTCACCATAATGGTGTAATGATAAATATGGCAACGTCAGCCCTGCAAAACAGCTGTTTGATGGGAAAACAAAGCAGAAGCAGAATGAGCAGACTGACTAGAGAGAGTGAGAGAGTGTGTGAGAGAGAGAGAGAGAGAGCAGATATGGTGACAGCTGGCGTAACAACAAAACAATGGATTGGAGTGAAGTTATGTCAATGTCAGTTTTGAATGTTTTTACTTTGAAGTAAATTTGACTTAAAACAAAATAGATTTTGTTAGTGGAAGTTTAATAGAAAGTAAAATAAACATATTCTGTTTATGATTTTGATTGTATTAATTTTCAATTTGGTGACAGAAACATGACAACTACAGTTTGAAATTGTAACTTAACCTAGAAAATGTGAGTTTATAAAGAAAGGCCAAATAGGCTATACCGGGCTACAGTGAAATGCGTTTTAATTTTAAATTAAGTGTTTAATGTGGGATTTTATTTCGAGATAATAGGCCTACTATGTTCTTGTTTGATATTTTCAGTCTGTCAGAGACGAGTGACTTGACCATTTTTATAAATGTACTGAGTGAAGAGGATAGCCCTAGTACCCATAACCTTCAAACTTAAGACAGATGAAGTGCTTATCCAAGTGATTATTTTAAAATACCTAATTGCATATTGATGTTTTAACTTATGATACAATATGTAGTTTGATATTAGTTTTCTGTTTTATAAATACATTTATTTTTATAAATTCTGTTTCTTATTTAAACTGAAATTATTCTTAAAGTTACCTTATTAAGTTAGTTAGTTAGGTTGATTATCATGTTAGTGAGGAGGAATTAAAGGCAAGAAAAAATCAAACACACTATTAACAAGTGATGTGTAGGCCTAAATAATTTAATGCTGCAGCCAACAAGTAGTCTAGGCCAAATTTTTTATTAGGCCTAAGGTAAGAGGTACTAATTAGTAACCATATAACTTAGAAAATTTGGTATAAGTACATAAACTACCTATTTAGGCCTAGGCAGGGTTTAGGCTATAATGAAATTTGTTTCAGCAAAATGCTGCAAACTCTCTGCAAAGACAAAAACTAAGTTAACTGTAGAAAAAATATTATTCAATAACTTAAGCATTTAAAACAAAAAATTCCAGTAGGCTAATATTAAATTTGTTTGAACATTACATCTCTCAATTTTATTTGTAGAAAATTTGCCATAGGTCTAGCCTGCAAAAAATGTAAACTTAGCATTTTTAAGTTGTGAATAGCAAGATGCTAAAAATACTACCGCAGCTTAAACCCTGGGCCTAGGCCTACTTAACGTGCAACTACTCGACTCGACTCGAATTGAAAAATCACTACTCGCCCACCCCTAGTAAATATTAACCGATTTTCGTCAAGTTTTACCCCTGCTGTGCGCTATGTCACAAAAGCTGATAACGACATGGGTGATTAGTAACCATGGCAACTAGGCAACTTGTTGAATGCGTGATGAAGGGAAACCCAAGAAAAAGAAGAACAAAGAGAAAGTATAATGACGTTGTTATCTTTATACCCTTTTTACAATTGCTGTTATTGTTATTATCTTTATGTTTAAGATTTTATGATTTTGTTTTATAGGTTTATAAAATAATTCTTTTTAACCACGGGAATATCAATTTATAATTTATCAACGTGTTTCTCTTCTGAAACAGCAATACCGGATGTATAATAAAGGTCAATGACCTAAAATATCATGATTGTGCATTATTGTATTTTGATGTTGAAATTCAAATCATGACAAAAGTTTGTATATTTCCCCTGGTCCCTATCATTTAATCATTTAATATACACAATCAATGCTTAATAATCGTGGTTAGTTCTAATTTTATTTTTAATTATTCAAAGTTTCTACACAATAAGACAATCCGAAGTCAAACCGGGCAATGAATACCCGAAAAACAACGTATCTTGACCTGTGATTGGAATACCACTCGCCAGTCCTTTAGATTTAGGGAAGTAGTGCAAGTCTATATATAGCTTCAAGGTCGTACCCACCCCTTCCCCCCTCACGGCCTACTCGACTCACTGTTGCTACCCGTTACCCTGGCTCCTTTCGAGGTCATTGCCCAACCCCTCCCACCCTTCTATTGTGTTGCCTTTCTATTGTTTCTATTCTGACTTTTTTCGGGAAACATTAAATCTATTTGTTTACGTAACAGCACAGAAGTAGGCTAGATTTTTATACTTTAAAAAAGTACTGTAAAAAAAGTAAGTAAAAAAAAACTATTACGCATAGCGCCCCTAGTATCAGGAGACAAGCACGAGTTGACCATGGTAGTTCTTTTCTGCTTTATGTCTGTTCGTTCCAGACGAATCTAATCGTAAAGCAAAACAGCCGATAACAACTAAACTAGACATTGGTATTGCATTATATGGCTTCTTTGTCCTTTGCTGTTACGTCGTCGTTGGAAACGTATTGCTGTAATTTTGTCCTGGGAAACTAATGATGGTTATAAAGATTTAGTTTTCTGTCCAAAACGTCAAAATATTTTGTCTATCCGAAAAAGTCGGATACATAACGTATAGTGTCGGATATCAAATTTAGGCTCCACCGAAGCCTATATTTAGCTTTAAAGACAAATACAAACATCATTGCATTTTTTTGCAAGTGCATTTTTTTTATATTTTTTATTAAGGCTTATATTTAGGGCCGAATCCGACCCGATTTTTCGGATATCCGCACACCTCTACCTATTATATGTTTGACAATCAATCTTGGTGGCAAAAATGTTTAAAAAGTAAATAGGTCAGGTCCTAGGTCTACCATGAGACTTACAATAATTTAACTTATCCTCTATATTGGAAATTCGCTAATCCATCAAATGTTGTCATTGTTAGCACATAAAAATAGAACTAATTAATTGACAGATCATTTTGAAATCTGAATAAAATAAATCATTCCAATATAATAAGTAATTCAAGTTTTTATGAAAAGAAATACTTACAGCCAGAAATTCGACGTACAGGATGACAAAGTGCAGAGTGAAGGACAGAATCATGGCTCCTATCAGAAACGGGTTGCTCCATGGGGGCATGGCAATCAAAGACTGGTTCTCTGATAAGCTGCAATAGCATTCTCATATCAATATAGACAAGCAAGTTATTATAAATTTCCATTGAACCAAGAAACTATATTTTGTCTTAAAAAAATGTACAAGAGTATATGGCAGTTAAAGGTGTGCGATTCATTGCTTATGCATAATCAAGAAATCACAAGTAAACTAATCAGTATACGACAGCAAAAATAATAAAAAAATTACTCCATTACAGTTGAACCTCGTTTGTACGAACCTCGATAAAACGAATTCCTCGATAAGACAAATTTTTTTTAATCCCCTTGACACTTTCATATAGGTTAATGCTAAAAACACCTCTATACAACGTAGTAATTAAGTTAAAAACCTCCATAAGACGAATTTGTTTGTGACATGGGGGCTAGGACTGATTAACCTCTATACAACGAATATTCATAGCACAAAACCTCTACAAGACGAACGTGACCTCTATAAGACGAATTTATCATAATCTTAACCTCCATAGTACGTAGTTTTCAAAACAAACAGAAGCTTGTCTCAACATGAAATCCCCACCCATCCCTCCTCCTTCCTCAGTCATTGTTTGGAAAAACCTTAGAGCGAGGAGAAACCTCTATAAGAAGAATAACAGCAGCATTAAACCTCGAGAAAACTACCCTCTTTATTAAGAATACCTCTATAGTACGAATTTTTCCCGTACCCCTTGAAATTCGTCTTATAGAGGTTCAACTGTATGTAAGAGGTTGATTTGGCATGGTTGGATTCCAGTTACCCTAGATGAAACTAAAGCCTAGGGGTGATTTTAAATATGGGCCTTCATGAAAAAACCTTTTTGGAAGAGTATTTCTCAGAAGAGTGGATTGATAAGGAGCCCTTCTTCAAATATGTATTTAGTTGGAACAGGTTGTACCAGATATTTGGGGGCTTTCACTTGTGAACACCAAACCTCAACGCCAGAAACCAATCAAAGAAAAAATATTTTAGGCTACCTTGATCAAAAGTGTAGGCAGTATTTTGTTCCGGCATATCATGTGTCATTTGATGAGATCACTGTTGGGTTCAATGGTAAAATTAAGTTCAAGGTTTACAAGAAGGACAGACCTACAAAATGGGGATTAAAGATTATTGTTCTCTCAGATGCAAGGAATGGCTACTATATGGTCATTTCTTCCTTACTACGGACGAGCAACAACAGATATGGTTCCTACGTCTGAGTTGTTGGTAACTTCTACAACTGTTCTACATGTGACAGATAAACTTGCGGAAGCATATCCTGGCGGCGCATTTATTTTCTATATTGGCCGGTTCTACAACAGCATGGAACTTGCTTGCGAGTAGTGATGGGCCGATTCCGATTCTCGATTCCAAAATACTCTCGATTCCGCCGGAATCGAATCGAGCATTCGATTCGAATCTCCGTGGGTTTGGGATCGATTCCAACTGTCTTCGATTCTTTCATAAAATTGGTTAAAATCAGCCACAAACGTCATATAAAGCAACAAAGAAACAAAATAAATTCAGAATGCTAATGATTTGCTTGCAACTCTGAGCAAACAACAAGTTCTGGTCGTATCGTCACTAAGTCAGCGAGACTAGAGCGAGCGTATTGCAAATGAAATAATAGATGCGAACTCAATACAGAGGCTTAGTACAATGAGAAACAGTTAACCGATGGGAATTGGAGATTCGGGCAAACTGGACTGGAGCGAGTAAGCATTGCGTCACAGCTCACAAGACATACAAGGAAAGGATGAGCATCGATTTAGATCAACCAGCGGTACCAAGGCTACTAACCACGAATACTAGAAAAGTAGAAAAATACTGGTATGGATCATAAACATAAACAAATGACATTTTTGGCCAGAAAATAAACATTATTTCACATTGCTTAAATGGAACTGCCAAACCCAAAACATATGTTCAATGCTATTTGTATAGGATTCGGGCCAACGACGTCATTTGTTTATGTTCATGATCCATACCGGTATTTTTCTAGTATTCGTGCTACTAACTGAAGCATTGCATCGGTACAACGATGTTATCAGTAACCGATAACATCGTTGTGAAAAAATCGATGTTTTTGGCCTTTGGGACTAAGACATAGATTTTTTTCTTCAATTTTTCGTCTGGTCTCTGTACTCTACAGTAACGGAAAGCATCGATATCTCAATATACTTGGTCAAAAACATCGATGTGAAAAACAACGAAAATCGATAGAAAAAATCGGTGATGCGAAAACATCGACTATCGATGCTCATCCCTAAACAGAGCCGACTGCTGAGCTACCATTCATTACCAAAGTCTAACAAAACACTTCTATTCGTATTCGTCGGTCCGTCGATCCCGAAACGTCACTACTGAACGAGACTAGAGCGATCGTCCTTTTTATTTAGCCTAAAAGCGACTTGGGAATATAATTATTTTTAAAATCAGTTTTGTTCACGTTGAGTGGTAATTGTAAACTTGTAGGCCTATAAGCTCTAGGCCTATATTTAAAAGTAAAAGTCATTGTTAAAAATGTTTGAAAAAATGTGCTGTAGGTTTAATTTTACGGTTTACGTTCATTCGTTTTCTTTCACTGTTATTGTATTATTATTATTATTGTGTTTATCCTCATTAAAATTGTGTGTTTCGTTCTAATAATGTTTGGGTTTTAATAATTAATTTCTAAAAACCTTTAAAATTATTTTTTAAATCAGTTTTGTTCACGTTGAGTGGTAATTGTAAACTTGTAGGCCTATAAGCTCTAGGCCTATATTTAAAAGTAAAAGTCATTGTTCAAAATGTTTGACAAAATGTGCTGTAGGTTTAATTTTACGGTTTACGTTCATTCGTTTTCTTTCACTGTTATTGTATTATTATTATTGTGTTTATCCTCATTAAAATTGTGTGTTTCGTTCTAATAATGTTTGGGTTTTATTTAATAATTAATTTCTAAAAACCTTTTTGTCATCCTGAACCATGGTATTCGGAATCGAACCCGGAATCGAGAATCGAATCCCAAATTTCAGAATCGGAATCGGAATCGGATTCGAATAATTTTGGAATCGACCCATCACTACTTGCGAGTTACAAAAATTGAATATTCATCTCACAGGAACTATTCTATGAAACTTGGCTGGTTTACCACTTGAAGCAAAAAAAAAAAAAATCTAAAGGAATTAAATCTCGGTCAACAAGGGTATACTTAGTTCACTCTCGACGATTCAATTCGATGCCTTATCTGGCTAGACAAACGCTGTGTTGATGTACTGGTATTGGTACTGGTGTTGATGTATATGTCCTGGTAATAGTTTTGAAGTAGTAGAAAGAAAAGCCAAAGGGAGAGTGCTAGAGGAGGTGGTTAAACCAACTGTTATGTGAGTATAACAGATACATGAGAGGTGTCGACTTGCAGACCACTACATATCCAGCTACAGCTTTGGTCGCAAGTCCATAAAGTTGTGGCGAAAACTGTTTTTTGGTTGTTGGAGGTCTCTACTGTGAATTCCTACCTCCTCTACTGTAGTGAAAATGGCCATTTAGAGCAAAAGAAATACAGGAAACACCTTATCCACCTACAGGTAGGTAATGTGAGAAATCTTGGAAGAAACTGAAAAAAAACTGAAGACCCTCAACAAGTGACACCGAAGAAAGGCTGAATAAAGTTCCTCACTTCATTTATCTTCAAGAAAAGAATAACTCCAAGGATTGTGCTGTCTGCATTAACAGGAAGGTGCCTGGTGGAAGAAAGGAGACCTAGTTTTATTGCCAAACCTGCACGAAGAAACTAGGATTACATCCTGGAAATTGTTTTCGGCGTTACAATACCCTCAGAGACTACAAATATTTTTGAAAGTTAGTGTTTTTAACATCATATTGTTAAATAATCATACAATCATGGTAAATAAAACTTATTTGTTTGAAGTAATTTTATTTTTTATGCCATATATTGTAATATCTGCGATTTTCTTTAAATTAAATGAGATCCAGGGGGTAATTGAGTATCCATAATAAGGATTGTAAGGGTTAATTTTTTGGAGTTTTCAAGTGTTGGTACGAACATTTGACAATTAAATCACAGTGTTGATAGCCAGGCATATGAGTATCAATGTTACAAAAACCCAAGATTAAGAATACGTTACAGTTTAAATAGTATTTTCTTTTAGGGACTTGGCAAATCAATATAAAATATTGTGAAAAAGTCAAGTTAAATGTTTAACTCATATGACTAACCTGTTCATCGCGTTCAACATCTCAATTGTGACAAGCACAGAGAGAGCCATCGTCATGGGGTGGGGGTCGTGGAAGATCTTGCAGTCAACACCACCAAAGTCGGCACTGTCAGGGGTGCAGGACAGATGGTGAGTCTGTACATACAATAAATATACATCTCTGACTCAAATATAAATCTCGCTTTACTGGATTTTGCAGTTAGAGAACTACAAACACAATTAAAAAAATGCAAATCAAGGAAAAATAGATAAAGAGTGAATAAAGCAATATAACCTCCTCAGACCCAAGGGTTATACTGATTTTTTTTTATTTTAATTTTTTGGTTTAAAATAACTATAAAAAGATGTACAATACAACAGATTTTTTAATTTTGAATATATTTATGAAAATCCTATGTAACCTATAGGTTACGTTGGGTCTCAAAAAATACAAAACTTGGTCGTCAACGAAATAGGTGGAGGCCCGTTTTATCATTATAATTAGACAAAAAACTCCACCTAAGTATCTGAAAATAAAACTGAAACAAAAATAACCTGTAAAATGCTGTTACAAACCTGTAAAAAGGCAGCAACAGTTGAATTAATGTAAAACTGCATTTTGTAGTACAAAACAGATTTCTATTGTAAGGTTCAATGTCACAAAGCATAAAAAATTAAGAAATAGAGATCCAATGTAACCCTCAGGTTACAATTAATTTCAAGTAAATGTTGTAATCAAGCCAAATAACTCAGAGTAATCAAAACTATACCAGGACAATCTCTAGTGTTTCTAGATGTCGTGTATTTTTTATACATACAATGATATTAAAATGTATATTTATTTTTATACATTACTTGGTATATGGAAACATAGAAAGATAGTACATTCCACGGTCCGCCATCTTTGCTAAGTTATAAAAACTCGAAACAAGAGAAACAGTCTGCCAAGCTACATTTCTGGCAAGTGCTGCACTCTTTTGAATCCCCTAGCAGCTATTATGACTACAAAATATGCACTGTATTGTTTAACACGTTCGCTACTGAGCGTCGCATATATGCGACGACGCGGTCATTGCCACAGACTGAGGTATACGTTTGAATCTTACACATAGACCGCCTGTCACTTGGATAACAGTACACACAGACCACGGGCGAAAACCTGTAAAACAGTAATCATTTACATTGTAATACGCTACAATCATGTTTGTAAATACAGTAGAGACCCGCAAACTCGGCACTCGATAACCCGGCAGTCTGGATAACTCGGCCATCATCTGGCTCAGAAAATTAGTGATTTTTTGAGTCCGACTTAAACATGGACTCAAGCCAGCTCAAGTCAAATCATTCTCAGCTCGTACAAATGATAAATATAAATAAAACAGGTAGTTAATTAGCTTACAAATTGTATTGTTCTTATTTTTAACCCTAGTTCCCGATAACCCGGCATTTCACAAACTCAGCACCCTTCCAGTCCACATTACGCCGAGTTTGCGGGACTCTACTGTAATTTATTCTTGTTTTTTGTATTTTTTTATAACCTTTTGTAATATCGCATATTTGCGACGCCCGGTCTGCAGCGAAGACAATAGTGAAAATTATCATAGTATTCTTGAAATAGACTAAACGTCGCATTTTTTGTATTTTGAGGTGAAAACCATCACAAACAGAGCATACACACAGAGCATGTGGGTTTTTAAACAGAGTATTTAAGAACAGTTTATAACTGAACAAATATAAAAGCTACATAGAATAATGCAGCATACATACTGCATACATACATACAGTGATGCAGAAAAGTAAAGACCAGTTTTTCCAACTATTATATGACGTCACCAATCATCATATCCACAGACCAAGCGATGCAGTTGTGCGTCAGACATCTCTGTAGACCACTGCAGGGAATTCAGTGCTTTCAAATAGACCACTACAAAGATATAAGCATTTTAATAACATTAGAACCCCGACGCAAATATTCGGCGGCAGTCTATTTTAATGTGACTAGCCGACGCATATATGCAACGACAGTCTATGGGTGGAAACTGGCCGTCGCATATGTGCGTCGCTGGTCCATGTGAATGGAAAATTTCGTACTATTGCAGTAGCGAACGTGTTAAATAAATAAAATAAGATTGTAACCCTGGGGTTACGATGGGTCTGAGGAGATAAATTAAAAACCATCAAAGCACATTAACAATCTTCTGATTAAACCGGTTTCACCAAGAATATACACTGACGTGAACTGTAACTAAGTGACTACTCTAACAAACAACTCTTGTGAGACAAATTGAAATACAAGAACTTGTTTACATAACATTTTTCTCATGCATCAATTAATTGAGCATCTATATATTAATTTGAAACTGTTTTTCTTTGTGACAGCTAATTTGAGAGAACGGCTAGGCGTAGAAACTCGGTAGGGGTGTCTAAAGAAAGGTCTTGGTCTGTAGATGAGCCATCAAAAGAGAAACTAGGTAAATTCCCTCGGGGCTCTGCCCCAGTGGCCTTTAAATTCCCATCCCATGTTATTCATATGGAGGAAAAACGGGGTATTTGTCACAGCTAATTTGAGAGAACGGCTGAGTGTAGGAACTTGGTAGGGGTGTCTAAAGAAAGGTATTGGTCTGTAGGTGAGCCCTCAATAGAGAAACAAGATAAATTTCCATGGGGCTCTGCCCCAGGGGCCTTTAAAATCACTCAGCAGTTTTGTTTACATTACGACCATATGGATAATTTTATACTACTTTTAATGAACCAGCTGTTAATATTAAAATTGTATTCAAAGGTCTACTGAAACTGTCAAAATTATATGTTTACACATTATTATTATTATTTTAAATTGATTCTCCACTGCATTGCAAGTTTTTTATAGTTTCAACAAAATGATGCATTTATGATACATTTTAAATGTTTTGTTCAAAAATCTATGCTTTATTGCTCTTAAAATTTGAAATTATGAAATCAGTGCGACATATCAGTTCAAAGGAACATATAGTTATTCCTTATCAGGTTAGCTTATATTATTGAATTCAAGAAAGAAGACCAGAAATTCATTAATTGGTATACAAGATTTCGATAATCGGGTTGAAAATTGTGTCATGGATGAGTACGTTGAGAATGAGAGCTGTGTTCAAGTTTTTGAATAGACTAACTACGGAGTATGTTTCATCTATGGTTTTGGTGTTCGAAGTAGGTAAATTAATGTCAATTCAGGTATTTAAAAAAATTTGTACAGGGTTTTTACTTTGATGTACACAATTAGCTAGGTCGAAAAACGCATATAAACCTCACTACATACAAAACATTCGGAAACACAACAGTGCCATCACATCTCATCGCATTTCCATAATTTGTTACCAAGGCTAAGTGGCATAAGTGGATTTATGGATGGCTTACCATGGTTATGGATTTGGTTCCGCAAATTTTCAAGATTTGTGGTCAAATTTCCTACAATTATGGTTCATTCCATCCACGAAATATATGCACAGCTTTATGTGATTGATATGGCCATTGCAAAACTACCCCATAAGTTAATCAATTAGCAAGTAAGTACAGGATGATTAAATACATGGGTCGATGTGGCAAGAGAAGGAATTAAAATTGCTTGGATCGAAGTAAGAATGTTTAACTGCTTTCTGGAGAATCGGATATTTTTATCAAATACAAAAAAGAAGAGAGATTTAATATGCCTCCTGCTGATAAAATTCTGTATTTTTATGACCAAAGATGATGATTCACTTATACAATCCAAATACGATCTGAATGATTTTCCCAAAGCAGATAGGGCCAGTTATTTTAGTAATAATGTCTCTTTCCGTCAGATGACAGACCAATTATATAAACTCCTTTCCCCATATAGTGAAAAAGGCTTTAACATGAACAAAAGTCATGAACAAGAAACAATTGTAAGACTCCTGAAAAGCCTTTTGGGCAACCTAAAGCCGATGAAAGGACAGAAAATATTGAATTCAACGAATTCATCAACCACGTTTTTTTAAGGTACACTTCATCTTACAATGATGTGTATCCTCCCTAAGATTTTAATAACTTCACTCTATCCATCGCAGTTAGCTGAATTTACGTAAAACCTCAAGAGTAACCGTCGATTTTGACGGGATTCACCTAGTAGATCCTAATCTGTGAAATCAATCATTATTGGACAAATCTTTTGCTATGACTGGTTTTTTTGTTTTTTTTTTGTCCAAGGACGCTAGGCACGAGCCCGGAATTGTTTTTTACATTACTTCAGGCTAGACCTAGGGGTTACGGCATTATCACTTAGATAAAATCCATTGGTGATTTGGCGGGATTTGAACCCGGGACCCGGAGTCCCGCGCTCTAACCACTAGACCAGCTCACTCCCCCTGCTATGACTGGTAATGCATGTTAAATTGATAGTCACACTTGGCTAGGTTTCCTGTTCCTCAGGTGTTGTCACCAAGATATCTACTTATTCTGATTGGTCGTACCAGTTGCCAGTAGGTCATCTGAGGTCCCTCAGGGGAGTACATGAACCACCAAGACGCAGCTCCAACAGTGGCAGCACCGACGTAGCCTCCAATGGCCATGTAGCGGAAGAATAGCCATCCAGAGATCAGACCTTCATCGGCTTTTCGGGGAGGCTACAGGACAAAAGAGTAATTTTCTATTAAATATGTATTAATAGTTAATGATCTTGTTAAAATACCTATATATTGTACAGCGACACATTCATATATATGATTTGAATGCTGCAGTATTTACCTTCTCCATGATGTCGAGGTCAGGAGGGTTGAAACCCAGAGCAGTGGCAGGCAGACCATCTGTGACCAGGTTGACCCACAACAGCTGTACAGGGATAAGAGCCTCAGGCAGACCCAGGGCAGCAGTCAGGAAAATACTGGAACAGAACCATTGATAAACAGTCACAAATATTACAACTTGAGTTAACGGCTTTACATAGACTAAATTGCATTACAGTAACTCCCTTAAGTTCGGCCATCTTGGGACCAAACCACTGGCTGGACTAAGCGGATTTAGTAGAACCTCAATTATCCGGGGTATTGGCATAACATAATATTACTTCAGGCTACCCATATAAACGCCTAGTACTCTATGAAATGGACGTTAATGTGATAATTAATTTGCATTTTATATCATCAAAATACAAATAGTATTGCACAATCGTGGTATGTTAAGTCATTAACCTTGGTTCAGTAATAAAAACTGTAACGTTTAAAATCACGCTTAATCTAGCAAAACAAAAATTACACAACACTGTACATACAGCAATAAATCACACAAAGAACAGAACAATAGAAAGTCTAGTAAGTTACTGCTACCGCAGTCACATAGGCTACTACTACATGTTGTTTCAGAACATAAGAATGTCGATAAAACATTAGATAGCTCATTAAACAGTATAAAATCATAGTACTTAGTCTTAAAGATAATAACAAAAGTAGTAAAATAAGATAACGATAACAATGGATGATGTAAAACACCGCATGTTATGTTTCAAAAACAATAATGGGGAACCTACTGCATATAATTAATGGTCAGAAATAGTTAATTATACAGTGCATTTCAACATATTAGACTGAAGAAAAACAATTTGTAAAATGTTCTTGGTATTTTTGAGGTTATGTAACATAGTTTACCATAGGTAATATGCAACAATTCACCCATAGAAGCACCCGTCAACCAAACTGACATGAATTGTTTACTTCTATGGTTCGAAACTAAACATTTAAGTTGAATCCCGTGACATTGTGACTTGTCCCTTTCAGACCGGGCCGGACCATCTGGTGGCCGATCCAACTGAAGCCGAACTAGAGGGAGTCTACTGTAACTAAAAGGTTATTTTAAAATTATTTAACTTATATTTACAAATGTAACAAACATATTATGAATTTTGACTGGAGTTAAGCTACAGCTGAACAGCCAGATTTTTACTTTGTTACCAAAGAATAAAAATGTAAAAAAATAATAACACTGTCTTGCACTACTGAGCAAAATTGATCATGACTATATTCAAGTATTACTTTTATAACTTTTATTAGCAAAGCATTGATCGGAAGGATGGATAGTGGTTTTATTTGAATATTATAATTATTTAAGGGGGAAAAATATTTAGGGTCTGAGGGTTCACAAATCGGGTCGGGTCGGACCAGCGGAAGGCCCGAGAGACTGTGTCGGGTCAGAGATTTGTTCGGACCAAGATCGGGTCGGGCCAAAAAAAGAATAATAATTGATTTTCAAAGAAACACTCTCATATTATATCTATTCTTGTAGAGGAATTAAAATGTTCAAATGAGAATTAAATATTAAGTTTGCTCAAGACTCAAGAATGTTAAGAATATAGACACATCAGAGCAATTGCCACACTGCCACTAGCCAGAGCCAGTCCTCTACTGACAAAAGCTGTGACACAACAGTGCAAAGAAAACAAAGTCAAAAGAAAGACTATTTATACAGAGGTACTAGTTTAATTATTTAATGTTTATTCCATACCTAATTAAAAATATATTTCAGTATTTTACATAATAAATTATCAACAAAATAAATATCTGATATAGTGTACAGATCTGTATCTTGTGCATTGATTTTCCTAATGTCCTTTTTGTCATTCAGTAACAACACTTCTGATCGTCTGGTTGGCATCAGCAAGTAAGTCAACAAAGAGGTTAGGCCTAAATGTTTTATATTTTTATGAAAGTTTTCATCAGTAAAATGACTTTTTTCTTAAGTTAGATGGGGGTTCAAAAAGATATTTCTAAGATCAAATAAAATATTTGTGAGACACAAACTACCATGAATTAATTTAAAAAAAAAATAATCTGTAACAGTTTTTTGGTTTTGAATAAAGAAATATATCTTTATTTCTCTACTTCCTTGTTTCATTACTAGCATTTTGTCAGCAATTGGACGAAACATAGAATTTTATTTTCTTCTTGCTTACGTCCACAGGCCCTAAATTTGTGATATGTTATTGATTTGTTTATAATCTTTTTATATAAGTTCCATTCAAAACTTGTTGTAATTTAGCTATTTAGTGATTTTAACAATTTTATGAAAATGGGAAAGAATGTCTTGATAAGTTAATTTTATTTTCTTCTTTCTTGCAGTTGAGGCAATTCCCAAGCTGTAAATAAGTTATGAAAATGAAATAATATACATAAATACAATTTTTATTCCTTATTTTATTACCAAGTAATATTATAAACAGTTCTACAGTAGGCCATCAGGCCAAAGTAGCTAGGGGTAGCTCAATACTTCAACCCTCCCAGAGAAAAAAATATTATAAACACAGAGAGGAGATAAAACCAAAAAATCCGGTAATTAATGATTTTTGGCCCGAGACCCGAGGGCCAAAACTATTGGCCCGAGAACCAAAAAAGTTTGACCCGCAGACCCCTAGAAAATATATGAATTTGTAAATTTAACTAAATTGAGAAAGCAAATAAAGTATCTTACAGAAATTACAAAATAAGATTAAAAAATGATTGTTGAATGCAGTTGTTTAAGAACTTAGCATATTATGATGTCTGACCTGACGACTTCACCAATGTTGGAAGAGATAAGGTATCGGATGAATTGCTTCATGTTGTTGTAGATAGCTCGGCCCTCCTCAACAGCTGAGACAATGGAGGAGAAGTTGTCATCAGCCAACACCATCTCAGCAGCAGACTTAGCCACAGCTGTTCCTGAGCCCATGGCAATACCAATCTCAGCCTTCTTCAGGGCAGGCGCGTCATTCACACCATCTCCAGTCTACAACAACATTACACATCAGTTGTAGTTAACTTTGTTGGTTATCTCTTGAAGATGAGAAAATAATTAACTTGAGATGACAAAATTACCTTCACCCAAGTACATATATTTTGTTAAGAAACTTATGCAACAACTTTGATTTACTATACAAATTCAGTATTAATTGTCTTTAGTTTTGATGAACCTACAGAGTGAAAAGTGTTTATGCCAATTCAAAGAGAGCACAACAGTAACTGCTCTGAAACAACTAATTGTAGTCTAATAATTATGCTTCAAAGTTGTCAACAATCAAAATAAAATTAGGTATATAAAACACTAATAAGATAAAATTTTATAGGCTATTGATTTTAATATTTATTTACGACAGGTTTATCCGATTAATAGTATGCCAACTATATTACTGACCATGGCAGAGATCTCATTCATGGACTGCAGGAATTCAACAATCTTAGACTTGTGAGCAGGCTCTACTCGAGAGAACAGCCTTGACCGAGCGACAGCCGCCTTCTGTTCAGCGAGTGGCAGGTCGTCAAACTCTCGGCCGCTGTATGACTTTCCAGTGGTGTCCTCATCCTCAGTGAACACTCCAATACGTCTGCAGATGGCCTCAGCAGTAGCCTGTCAATCAACACACACCCATTACACATCTTGCGTATTATGAACTTATAAGAGAGAAAAAGTCATCTTTGTGGGTTGTTTTGTGTTTAAGAACTTGTATTTATCAATAGTGTATCACTATTTTGTTTTTTAATTTTAATACTAACCCACAAAATAACACTCTAATAATTTGTGTATTTCAACAAGAAGTGTCCTTTTTTAACCAAAGTAAAAGCCAAAAATAAAAATGTGTGTCCTCCTCCACTATAACCGATGTAAAAAGAAGCAAAACAGGTGTTGTGTGCAATTCTTGTTAAACTCACCAATGCAATCAACTTTCACCCATGCCGGACACCGTTTATTCAAAGTGGGTGCTCCACTCCAGCCAAGCCAACAGGCTTAAAATGGATTGCACATGTATAGGATTCGAACCCACGCATGTAAAAAGACCTCAACGCTACACTCGTCAGTGCAACACCTTAGCCAACTGAGCTACCATGCCACTGTCGGCCAAACGGGTTGCCAGTATAAGCTACGCGCGCACTACGGCGGCACGGCACGGACGGGCGGTACGGCACGGACGGCATTTTTAAGAGGGGGTGCGCGCACTAGGGCAGCACGGCACGGACGGACGGGACGGGACATCCGCAATTTAGGACAGTTGACAGTCTGCGAGCTAAAATTTGTGAGTAAAGATGGATGTAGATAAAGTGGAGATAGTAGGTTTAATTTTAGCAGAGGAAGAGGTGACAAGAAGGTGCAAGCAAAGATTTTAGATACACCACATAAACAGGAAAAGACTAAGTTTTGGAGAGTTCCACACCTTGTTTCCACATCTTGTAGAAGGATTATGTGTAAAACTTACCTGATTGTTTCATAATAGGTCATATTTCTGCCCATATACTGTCACTCCGGACGTTATTAAAATATTCCGGATGTCGCATGTTGTACAGTTTGGGGTTTTTCTCAACGAGAAAAATCAACTTACTAACATCTATGTTTACAACACACGAAAACACTGCTACTTTGACAGAGATCAGTTGAGAATGGCGGATGTCCCGTGCCGCCCGCCCGGTCGGTGTGCAGTGCTCCCGGTCTGTACGGGCGGTACGGGCGCCACGGCAGCTCGGAAATGTCCTGGAGTTCTGTCTCCCGGACTTTTTAACAAACGGCGGAAGCTGCCGAACTTCCGTTGCCGGCCGTACCGCCGTAGTGGGCGCACTCATATGACATTCAATGTTATTAACTTTTAAAAATTGCCGTGCCGCCCGCCCGTCCGTGCCGTGCCGCCGTAGTGCGCGCGCAGCTATAAGCACACGACGACACTACCACTCGCAGGTTAGATTCGACGTACCACTTGAGGGCCTGTGTCTTAGCAACTCGTGGAGGAATGCGGTTATGGGCTACACTTTCACGAGTCGTCGTCAATGTGTTAAGACATTTAAGTACCCATTGTATCATGACATAACACAAAGATTTAAAGTTTTAGACATATCATTACCTTGTTGTCTCCAGTGATGACAATGACTCGGATTCCAGCAGCTCGGCACCTCACAATGGAGTCAAAGACTTCCTTACGTGGAGGGTCCAACATACCCACAACACCAACAAAGGTCAGGTTAACTTCATACGTGTAGAACCTGTGACAGATCAAGGAGTGCAAATTTTAACAACCTGTTCACTTATTCTCCATAAGAATTAAATAGAAATAGGTTTTTTGTAATTTTCTTCGTTGTTAAGCGTACAATGCTTCAATATATACTAAATTATTTGTTTTTGAGCTCAACAAAAATGGTTTGGGTAAAAACTGCAAAATTTAATATTTTTAGGATCAAAAACGGAAAACTAAATTTTTACCCATAAAACACTGTTCCTATGGTTTGATCATATGGTTTGCTAACTCGTTCGAATGAATGTAGGTTTTCACATTTGTACTAAATTTGATCAAAATTGGATTTTTACTCAAGTTATTGTGCTAACGGACACACAATATAAATATATAAGAATTTGAACAGGTTGTGTTTTTGACCTCTGGGGACATAAAAATAAAAATATATATGGGTCTAGGTCTTACTACAAGACCTATGGTAATAGTTTATTCCTTGTGTGAGAAATTCGCTAAAAATGGATGATTTTCTTTTTTGGCTTTTTAAGAACTAGACTTAATTGTTGTTTACAATTCAAGTATAAATAGAAATAAACACAAAGGACAATGACGATAGTTGGCAGATTACTTACTTGGTAGAGTCTCCCAAGTCCATCTCCTCAGGCTTCATGGGGTTGTCACAGGTGGCCAGAGCCAGACAACGCAGGGTGTCACGGCCAGTACCATACTGTCTGGTCAGTTCCAGGATCTTGTTCTTGAGAGCAGCAGTCAGAGGCACCTGTGAGCACAAACAAACCATAATAAAATCAAAATATCATATATTTGACAAACAAGAGTTACATCAAACATCATTTTAACTCTGAACAAAAATATTTAAAATATTTAGTTCTTTTAAAAAAATTATCTAAAAAAAAGCTTCTTAAATTTAACTATATGAAATTATCTCACAACAAGGAGAATTTACTCCTGTACGTAAAAGAGCGTCATTATATTTTTGAAGATTTCTTTTTAATTTAAAAAGAAAGAATTATGGAACATTTGAAAGTTACACTGAAGGACTGAGTGATTGCTGGTTGACATGACATTAATTAACAACTAGACACATGGTAGACCTCTCCCCCATCCCCTTCCTAGACCCCACAACAACCACACTCTTGTTAATCTCAACACCAAATAGCCTACAGCAGTACCCTTATATCTAACTTTGAAATGAACATGTAGTCACTTGAAGACTACATGTCATTACTTACACTACTGTAATTTCAATTTATTGTAGAAAAAGTCAAATCATACCACCTAATTTTTAAAGTTGACAATACATGCCAAGGCATGGTTCAAAATTAAGGTGGAAGGACAAATGCAATTTCGTTTGAGTAATTATACTTGTTAATTCGGAAGTAAGGAGAGTTTGTTTACCTTAGTGCCACCAATACGAGCGTGAGTGCACCTTTCCAAGACACCCTCAGGAGCACCCTTGACAAACAGCTTGGGTCCTGAGCCGAGCTTGGAGGGCTTCAGAGGAACACAGTAGGAAGACATGGACTTCCTGTCTCGGGAGAATTCCAAGGTGAACTCCTTCTTCCACTTGGTCTCAATGTCCTGATGAAATCAATGATAATAAATATTAGTTATTATAGGAATCATAATATATTTTAAATATTCTCTTAAACTGTAAACCCTTTCTTTCCATTAGGCTACTTCCTAATTTTGCCTTGCAACAATTGATTTTATAATACAAACAAACTGCTTTAAGCAAAATGACATACAATGAAAACATAGTATATAGTATACACATAAGAATTATGATTTCAATGTATAATATAGTCGGTACCTGGCGAACAACGATGGCAGATGTTCTGCGGTCCAGACCAGTTTTGCTGACATTGAAGGGGTTCATCTTCTCAGCCAACACAATCAGAGCAGTCTCAGTGGCCTCTCCTACCTGTCATCAACAGAGGAAAACTGTCAAATACAATCAAACCAACAAATTAAATAATTACAATAAAGCTAAATTGATGTGATTGCTTAATACTGTACTATTATAAAAATAAAAATAAATGTTTAGATTCAAAATATGTTTATTTGTGTTATCTTTTACATAATAATAAAATTTAGTCAGATTCTTGTAAGATTAAAGATGGATCAAATACTGTTGGCTCTCTCTCTCTTTCACTCTATTGACGGTTAAAAAAAGCCACAGCTTATAACGATTATCAATGAAGTAAGAAAATAAAAATCTCTAACCTTTTCAAAAGCCTGTTTGAATTCGTTGAAGTCAATAGCAGAGTCGTTGCACATGATGCAGATAGTTCCCAGCTCGTGCAGGGTCTCGTAGTCGGCACCCTTGACCTTCTGGCCCTTCAGGAAGACATCTCCAAGGGGCTCGTAGGTGGAACCAGTGATCTCAAACTCCAGGAAAGAGCTGTCGTTGCCCTCAATCTTGTCGAAGACAAACATCCTGCAACATGCAACAGGCTACTGTAATAAAAAGGACAGATTTCCAAAAAACCTATAATACTACAGATCATACCTTGAATATATGTATATAGTAAGACTAAATCAGTTTCGTTTTGTTGTCACTGATGGATCTTACAAGATGAGGAAATCACAACAGTAAAGATGTAGAACTAATAATTCTTAATTAAGGATGTTTAGCTAGCTCCAGGTTTACATTTGCTTTATGAGTGAACTAGATTTATTCATAACAACCGGTAACTTGGTCTATCATGGTACAGAGTGTTTTGGTGAAGAGTTTACCTGGAGACGGACATCTGGTTGGTGGTGAGTGTGCCGGTCTTGTCAGAACAGATGACAGAGGTGCAGCCCAAAGTCTCTACGGATGGCAGAGACCTGACAATAGCGTTCTTTTTGGCCATCCTCCTGGTGCCCAGGGCCAGACAGGTGGTGATGACAGCAGGCAAACCTTCAGGGATGGCAGCCACAGCCAGTGCGACAGCGATCTTGAAGTAGTACACGGCTCCCTATCCACAAAACTATTATCAGGGACAGAGTTATTGGAAATGGAAGAGTTTGGATTATTGCTCATAGTAAACAAGATTTTAGATTTAATTCATAATAAGGGACTTTAGGAGAAGCTAAATTCTTGGTTACTTTATTAGTGTTGGGTTACCTTGATCCAGGAGCCACCGTGAGCCGGGTCGTTGAAGTGTCCGATGTTGATAGCCCAGACAGCTACACAGATCACAGAGATGACCTTTGACAGTTGTTCACCAAATTCGTCCAATTTCTGCTGCAGAGGAGTCTTGATCTCCTCAGTCTCACACATCTCAGTTCTGATCTTACCAATGGCAGTGTTGAGGCCAGTGCCCATCACGACACCTCGGGCCTTGCCAGCGGCGACGTTGGTGCCAGAGAACAGGATGTTCTTCTTGTCCTGAGGACAACATATGATGTCAGTACCACAACATATGATAGCCGCAAACTTATTGAGCAAGAAAGAATAAGAGGCATTAATTGCATGCAAGGGACAACACTTGGACGGTACTCTGACTCGGTGACATCTTACAATTATCATGATCATGATCCTCGGATACATCTTACAATTAGGAACAACAACAATGTGTCAAAATTTGTATATTCTTTTACATCAAACAAAAACACATCCCCTAAAACCTCTATTCCTCCAAATCATGACACTTTTGCTGACAAGACAAGTTGTTGTACTAAATGTTTACCTGGTTAACGGCTCGGGGGTCAGGTACAGGGTCGGTGTGCTTGATGACAGAGACAGACTCTCCAGTCAGGATGGACTGGTCAATTCTTATTGTGGTGGAGTAGATCTTGATCAGTCTGATGTCAGCTGGGATCTTGTCACCAACTGCATACAAAACAAGCTGTGTGACTAATGGCACTAGGCACATTGGGAGATGTGGTTTAAAACCCAAAATTAAAGAATTATTCGATGAAACTTAACCAGTTGAGTAAGCTACCAAATCTCTTTCTTGTGTTCATCTTCAAAACTACTCAACCAAAAGTAGTAAAACTCTTTAGAAAATGTAGCCCAACATGATAGCCTCCGGTTTAGAATCCAAGCCACAGAAATTCTGAGAAATCGCTATTTGTATGGTTAGAACACAGAATTTGACATAAAAAATATTTCAGCATTAAAGATTTATGATTTTTCTAGACTACTATTTTTGTACAATGCACTGTAAGTGTAAGTGATGCTACTTACCAGAGACCTCAACGACGTCTCCAGGTACGATCTCCTTGGCTCGCACCTTCTGTACACCAGCCTTGTCTCCTCTGACGACCTTGCCCATCTCTGGTTCATACTCCTTCAGCGCTTCAATGGCTGATTCTGCATTCCTTTCCTGAGGACACCAAAAAGATATGAAACATCCATTGAAGGTAGGGCAAAATAAATTTTTTTCTGTGTTACAGGTGATTTACCTCTAAGTCTTGAAAACTGCTGACTAAGGTCTATTTAAATAACATTAGGTTTAACAAGTACCTACATTTCCTGGACTACAGAAAAACTAATAAAGTGTGTTTTTTTTTTTTGTAAAATTAATAGCTTAGTATAATATAAATAAATAGACCAAGTTAGATCAAAATATATCCATAAACAAGCAAACTGCAACAATTTAAAATATCCTCTATAAGAATAACATGGGAATTTTAAATTTATAATTTTTTTTTCATTTCTCCGATACCAAGAACCGTACAAATAGGCCTACACTTTGATATAATAAATGATTTGTATTTTTAAGTTCTTTAAAAAGGTCTATAGAGAAATAGTGAAATTTTGTGTTTTGAGGGTCAAAAAGGAGAAAACCCAATTTTAACCCCTTAACCCTCCAAGTGTCCATAGTAATGGTATTAATGGCCCATTTATTGCGCAATTGCAGGGTTTTATTAAAATGTATCTTAGAAACTTAAAAAAAAAACACTCTAAAGTATACTGTTTTATATATCATTTTGTTTGGAATATTATGGGCTTCAATGTAATATATAAAACATTACAAAAAAATTTTCTACAATTTTGGTGGGGTTAACATTTCTCAAAAATTATAAAATAAATGAAAAAAAAATTATGTTTGTGCTCAATAAATTTTACATATTATAGGTCTACAAATATTTTAAAATAGCCACTTTGTTTTTAAATTTTATAAGGATTACAAAAATATAATATAAGGAAGTAAATTTGCAAATACATAAGTTATGGGTGAAAAACAGATTTCGTACATTTAGCGTTTACCTAAGAATGCATAGCATAACCATAGCTAGGAATCTGGCGGATAATAAACATCAATATTACTACACTCCTTCAGGATCTTCAACCAGCCCTTCAAAATCACTTAAATCTTCTTATAATGCACCACGTATATCACTACTTTTTATTTTTAACCCTAAAACAATGATAAACGTAATAAAACACATCAGTCATCGGTGCGAGGTTAACCAAGTTGTATACAAATACGCACGTCATCTGTCTGCTACAATATTTTCGGAACTAAAACGAAAAGCGTCTGGAAACAGACATCAGGAGAAAGCTGAGAATCTGCCGAAAACAACAATACCAATCTCGATCCAGTTCAATCTGATTCAGTCAGTCCAAGAGCCTTCACCGAAAACGATGTTTGTGTGTCGCAAAAGCGACGCATAACACCACAGCGGGTTTGTTGTGCGTCGATTACACGACGCTTAACACTCGGAGGGTTAAGACCCCCCCCCCCCCCCCGCCACCGTTAAACCTCGTTCTTATGGTTTGATCATGCTGGTTTGCAAACTCATTCAAGTTTACCTCGGCTTACACCTTCAAGCCGAATTTCATAAAGGTCAGACAAAAATTACTCGAGTTATCAAGTTCACGGACACATATACAGGGTGTCCCGGAACTCTTTACCAATATTTTTGGGCATTGCTCCTGGGTAAGAAACATGCCTAAATATCATATTTAAATTTTCCGGAAGTCCTTAGTTACTCACACAGCCGCCATTTTGTTTTTTTCAGTTATTAATTTTTTGCTAAAGAATGGTTAAACATACGAAATGGAAACTTTGCACAAAGATTTATGACAACTAGACAAAGCTACCAAAAAATTATGAAGATTTTTCAAATTCATAGATCAAAATGGTGGCCATTTACAATTTTTGTAAAATCAAAGGTTTTTGAGTTAATTAAGAAACAAAATTTTAAATTGCCGCCATTTTGTTTTATGAATTTGAAAAATTGTCATAATTTTTTTGTAGCTTTGTCTAGTTGTCATAAATGTTTGTGCAAAGTTTCCCTTTCGTATGTTTAACCATTCTTTAGAAAAAAAATTAATAACTGAAAAAACAAAATGGTTGCTGTGTGAGTAACTAAGGACTTCCGGACAATTTAAATATGATATTTAGGCATGTTTCTTACCCAGGAGCAATGTCCTAAAATATTGGTAGAGAGTTCCGGGACACCCTGTATATAACTCTATATAGGCCTACAGAATATAAAAATTTAACAAATGGTGTTTTTGGCCTCTGGGGAGATTAAAATGAACAAGTTAATCGGTCCTGGGCCTAGGTCTTATTGTGCCACATACGGTAATAGCTACTTCCCTATAGGGAAATTTGTTAAAATGTAATGCTTAAGCACCAATAGAAACTTAAACAGTGCTTATAACAACACTCTATTTAATTGGTTGACCAATTAACTCTAGCAGAATTTACACGTCATCTAATTCACTGTGTCAACAGTGTGTCAACTGTGTTAACAACGGGTTTAGAAGGTTTCACTTACTTTGGCCAGATCGCATCTAATACTTATACACATATAGCTCAAAATAATCTGGTGCATAGTCATTTCAATGAAATTATTGATTGTGAGAAATGCATCCATTGTTGAAAATAAAAACTAAATTCTTGAATATAAAAATAGAGTAAGTGTTGATGTGGAAATTAATTATTTAGAATTGTTGAGTTTAATTAAGATGAAAGTATAGCTTTACATTACTTTATTGAGCTTGAAAACATGATTAAGACACATAACTTTGCACCAAAATTTTGAAAAATTTCTAGATGATACAGCATTTTATTTACTTATGTTAACAGATTGTTTAGCATCAGTTTTAGTTCAGAAATGTAATACAATACAATTCATAATGACAGCATTGAAAGTAGGTAACTTAAACTCTAAACATTTAGTATGGCCAATTATCAAATTCTAAATAAAATTTATGTAGTGATGACTAATCTTAAAAGCACTGTTTAAAATAAATAGCTTACCTGCCATACACCAACGACGGCGTTTGCAATAAGAATAAGTAAAATGACAAAGGGTTCAACAAAAGCTGTAATTTGGTCATCGTGATCTTCAAATAAAGCAAGTACCTGTAACATGAAATTGTCTATGTTAAAAACAGAAAATCTTCCATATGCTGCTAATAATTTAATTGGAAGCTATTGTTATGTGAACTTTCATTGATTAGGTTCATAATGATCCACAGTTAGGCCTTTTCTCTTTTTTATGCATTAAATAAAAATGTATTTTTTAAACTGTTGTTCTTTAGATAATAGGATTGACTTTCTTTTACTTTGAATAATTTAGGTCATTAGCATATTTGCTTCAAAAGAAATAAGTAGGCGTACCAATCCTAAATTTTAGTGTTAAAACAACCTGTCCCAATTTTGTAATAGAGAGGTTTTATTTTAAGGCTACAACACAGGTGTCGTTATGAGAGTCCCCAAGTATAAATAACCCCCAAGACTAGGGCGAACAGCCACTAAACTTAGCTGAGGACATCGGCACGCTGGCCCTGTCAATCATGGCCGTCACTTACTGGCACGTATTTCTGGAGCGAAATATTAAACGCTTGTTTCATCCTAATTTTAGATGCTCCATAAGCTCAGGTAAATTCAAGGCTACTTAAGATTTAATTACGGCCAGTAGAGTATTCAAAACAAAATATTACACTCTTAATTAGACCTTTAACAAAAAAATTTAACTTAAGGTAGAAAGTATGGTTTAGAGAACTAGAAGTTGCAATAGGTATGGTCTAGAAATATTAAAGGCATTATAAAGTATAATAAAAATTTAATGTAGTTTTGAGGAAAACATATTGAAAATAAATTTTACAAAGCTTTGAGAACTAAGACAATACGGTAGCTTAAAGATTCGACTACCACTAAGTGTATTATTATTATTAAATACTTACAAAAGAAATAATTGCAGCTAACAATAAGATCTTCACTAAAAGATCATCAAACTGCTCAAGCACTAATTGCCATATTGACTTTCCTAAAACAAAAGAAAACAGTATATGAATATAAATAAAAATAAATCAACAATTTTCACACCTTATTTGACAATGAATAATAATTTGCTCTTTCACTAATACTCAGGGATTTATTGTTTTTAAGTGAAATACTAAATAAATGCCTGTTAGTAGTTGTTAACTAATGTATTTACAAACACTGTGAAGACACAAACTTATTACTATAGTGCATTACAAAGTGAGAGGTATGCTTACCCCCCAACCCTCAGATATTAGATAGTGGACATTATTCCACCTCTTCTACCCTACTTGACCTGCATAGTGCATACACCAGAATAACTCTATATCAGTCATAAGGATGGGTTCATTGTGTGAATTTTAGATTAATCAATTAGTAGATTTAAAAGTGTAAATCAAATTTTTTCTTCCATATTACGGGTCTTTTTAAGAGTCGCCACATGCGTAAAGTTTTGATATAAATAAAACACTTGGACTACAAACAACCTTTTCAAATTAATTAACAAGAAGACTTGCACGGCAGTTGTGTGAAGAAATCACATAAAATTGGTCACTTTAAGGTACAACAGTTAAAATAATATAAAATATACTGGTAATGTTTCATTATTAGCCTACTTAAGATATTAGTAAAACTAGTTTTAAAAAAACAATTTTTTTGTTTAACAAAAAACTCTTTTAATTTGCTCTTATTTAAATATTGGCAATGAATATTATAAGACATAATTAATGATACTGGGATAGTTTGCTGGAGTTACGACACCTTTGTGAGTAATAAAGAGGAATGTAGAGGAGTTGGAAATATTTAGTTGAACCTGAACAAGCTTAAATGTGAAACATCTGCTTGGCAATTGTTTGTTCAAATACCACAGGGAGACTATTCTCTGACTCATTCATGCCACAGTAAGTTATCTTGTACATTATTTATGCATACTATTCAATTTGGACAAATAGTTTGAAAATAAAAATTGAAGTTATTGATTCTGGAGATGTCATATCTTTTAAAGCTGACACAATTTTCTTTTAATAGATAAAAAATGTATTACGATGAAATAGTTTACAATAATCAACATAAAAAGCATTACTGTAACTACTAAATAATACCCCAATTTACAAAAATCACCTATAGTTTTAAAAGCTTACAGTCATCTCGGTGAGGTCTAAATCAAAGTGGTTTTAGACAAGACAAAATAAGCGTGTGAATCAGGTACTTCTTGTCACTCACTGACGGCATAATTTTTTGTTCTAGATATTTCCATAAGATGGAAATGGAATTTTACATAACCTGTTTGATATAACATCTGATCACAGTAAGAAAGGTTCATTAGCTAGATGCTTACAATGGAAAGCAAAAGGTAATTTAATCATTATTCAGGTTTATGAAATACTAGCTGTTGTACCCCTGCTTTGCAACGGGAAGAGGACACAAAATAGAAACATTTTAATCTTTACATCTGTTGCATATAATAGTTACACATCCGCCAACGCTTTTAGAAACAAAATTCAACTTTTATAGCCTTAATAGATACGTTTAAGTTATGACTTTTAAGTCTGGTAAGTAGTGGATACCACCATTTTGGTTTTGATTAATTTTAAATCTTGTGTAGGCTGATATGAGAAAAACTGACCAAATCTTCGAATAAAACTTTGACATACATGATTTACCTTCATCTCTCTTAGTTACATATCTTTAAATTTATTATTGACATTTTAAGTTTCAATTTTGAAGTTTCAAGAATACTAATTATTACATTTAAATTAACATTTTTTTTAAATTTCACTCTTCTTTATATTAAATCATAAATCCTTCCATCTTCAGTTTCTTCACTCACAATAAATCATTAGCAAAACTAAGTCAGCTTTTATAAACTTTAGAAATATTGCTGTGCCTTATCAATACAGTCTTTTGAAATACAGAAACTATATCTATAGGTACATAAAAAACTGTAAACAAATATTTTAGCATTAAAGACAACAGACAAAACTAATATCTTTATCAAAGCATCAAGGACTAAAAAATGTAAAAGCAAATACAGTATATAGGCCAGTCAAATTGGACAATAAAATCGCAAAGCGTGATGTATTGCTGCATTTTTAATATGTTGTTGGGACCAGTTAGGGTAACTCAAAACCAAGTTTGCAGCTTCGAGATCCCTGTGCTCCCTGCGTAATAAGTAAAATATTACAAAATTAATGTGTTTTTTTAGTTTTTGGTCTATAACTTATTAACAGTGCATTTTTCTTAATGCAACTCAAAGGTAATAGTTAAAGTACATAAAATTTCCTACAATTTAAGCATAGTTTCATTTTTGTGTGTCAAATAGTTTTTCAGCAATGATTTTTTTAAATATTACAAATATTTCAAAGTAATTACCATAATTTACATTTTTCCTGGGTTGGACCCACAAAAACTGTGTAATACCCATATTATGGGAGAATTCTTAAAAACTGCTTTTGTAGTAAATTTTATTGGCTTTTGTTTTATCACAAAGCCAAGTCTGTACCTCCAACACCTTTCTTAAAACTATACAAATAATAATTTATGAATATCACGATTTTTTTATTTAATAAGTTGAAATAATGTCTCCAACCATTAAGTGATAAAAAACAAAATGAGGAAAATATATTTAAGGTTAAAAGATATATTTAAAGATCAATTATGACAAAACATTCTTATAATTACTATTTTGGCTTTTGGACACTGAAGACAAGGTATTAGAAATGTTTCCTGATTCAAACTAATCGGGTAAAGACATATTATCGTCAGGGTCAACTTCTTCATCTTCAATAAATGGTAATGTAATATTTTGGCAATTCTTAGCAGAGCAAGGAGTACATAATGGTGTACACTTTAGCACGGCCTTCTGACGTTTTAATAAGCACCCTATGTATGTGCTAATGTAATTGTATAATGTATCCCTTTTTGCACTAAATGAAATTAGTTTCAGAAGGTTGGGTGGAGCTTGACTGCATGAGGTTGTCCCTGGAACCAATCCTGCTGTGCTGTTTGACCAACCCCACTCTGTGGGATCCTTTTCAATCCCTAACCATTTTTGCACTTGGTGGGATGCTCGAAATAAGTGGAAAGAAGCTGCATCTTGGCTGGGGGAAAAGCGTGATAAGTTTACCTTAGTGCTGGCTGTTGCCTTTAACAGGCGGAACCGAAATCTTTCTAATTCATCGTGGAATGTGTTGCCACCATACAAAGCAATTAGGCACGTTTCTCCAGCTTCCTAAGAGGAATTTTTAGGTTGAGAATGGGGAAACCTATTTCAATCCCATAAAACCTTTAGTACGATCATACTGGTTCGCGAACTCGTTCGGATGTAAGAATAACATTAGCTTCTAATTTGATCAAAATTGGATGAGTTTTACAGCTCTAGTTAATGTGCTGATGAACATACACACACATTTACATGAACTTGAAGTCGAAAAAGTTAATCAGTCCCGGCTGTGTATAAATAATTATATATTTTCGACATCTAAAGAAACAAAATTATAAGGTTTTAGCAAATTTCCTATATATGGAATGAGCTATTACCGTAGTACTCATGGTAAGACCTGAACCCGGGACCGATTGCAATACAGTACAAAATCAATAATATTCACCCTATAGATATAAATAGCAGATCAACAAAACGCTTATCTTTTGCCATTTTAACTTAACAAAGTCATTTTTCCATTTGTTTTGATAAAAATCCTGCAAGTAACGTCCTTGTCCTTTTAACCAGTGAACAAGGTTGACAACAACAGGAGGTCGTCTTTCAGGCTCTCGGAAAAGATGCTGCGGGAAAAGGTACATCAGCAATCAGCATGAGTCTTATTGATGTAGAACCTGTACTATTGTAGTTAAAATTCATTAAAATCAGTATCGTCTTTAGCCTATTTCATATTGTAGCCTACATAAATCAGTACATGGAATGGCGTCAAAAACTATATCTAAAACTTGAACATAAAGAAAACAAGTCTAATAGAAATAAAACTCTAATTTAACATATATTCTTCCTTTTTACTAACTAATAGGAAGCAGCTACCATAGGTGGTACGGTAAGGCATAGTGCCGAGACCGATATATTTGATCCTTTTCTGCGGTGGGGATATTTACTGTAAGTTGTTTTTACACAAATTTATATTATATTTATAAAAAATTAGCATAGTAAAAAGTATATAACTAACTCTTAATAACTCAAACACATGTTTTAAAAACAATTAAACTCGTTATATGAACAAAATTGTGATATTCATAAATTATTATTTGTATAGTTTTCAGAAAAGTGTTGGAGGTGCAGACTTGGCATTATACAAAACTTCAAGACATTTTACCGCCATGAAGTAGTAAAGATTGTTTTAGATGGCATTGAAAACTACGTAAACCCTAACATCTCTATCTTAACTGCTATGTTGATGGTTGAAAAGGCTTGGAAAAGTGTAGTGCCATCTACAGTATCCAACTGTTTTCGGAAATCTGGATTTTCTATCAACACACAAGTGAATGATGAACTTCAACCTGTGCCACCTACACCTTGGGAAAATCATCCAGTGATAGGGGAGGTTCCATTTGAGGAATTCGTCCTAGTCGATGATGAAGTTGCTGTGTTTGGAGCCCTAACTGATTCTGACATCTTGAATTTACAAGAACCTGAAAATCCAACTGACGATGACAACGATCAGGAGTGCGAACCAGTTACGTTGAAGGAAGCCTGTACGGCTCTAGAGAAACTCCGCCATTTTTCGCTCCAGTTACGTACAGTATGTAAGTGTTATACAGTAGGCCAACTGTACATTGTACTGTTTAACTAGAATGGCATTTTACAATAGATTTCTTTCTTTACAGAATCAAGTTGGTCCAGAAGTCTTCGAGTCACTATTCGTCCTTGGAAATGTCATTGACAAAGCAAAAATTAATAGTAAAAAACAAAAAAAAAATTAGAGATTTCTTTGCAACTACAAATATTGTAACTGAAAAACAAGCCGTAAATAAATATTGTAACGTGCTACAGTACTGTAT